AAGGATGTTGGGCACAGAAACAGACAAACCGCCTGAGACATCCCCACAAAATGGCCGCGAACGAGCCCGTGCAACCACCCCTGGCGGCTCCCCCTAGGGGTGCTGAAATGAGCGCCTCGCTCGAGACATCCTCCAAATCTGCTCCGAAAGCGAAGGATGTTGGGCACAGAAACATGCAAACCGCCTGAGACATCCCACAAAATGGCCGCGAACGAGCCCGTGCAACCACCCCTGGCGGCTCCCCTTAGGGGTGCTGAAATGAGCGCCTCGCTCGAGACATCCTCCAAATCTGCTCCGAAAGCGAAGGATGTTGGGCCCAGAAACAAGCAAACCGCCTGAGACATCCCCACAAAATGGCCGCGAACGAGCCCGTGCAACCACCCCTGGCGGCTCCCCTTAGGGGTGCTGAAATGAGCGCCTCGCTCGAGACATCCTCCAAATCTGCTCCGAAAGCGAAGGATGTTGGGCCCAGAAACAGGCAAACCGCCTGAGACATCCCCACAAAATGGCCGCGAACGAGCCCGTGCAAACACCCCTGGCGGCTCCCCTTAGGGGTGCTGAAATGAGCGCCTCGCTCGAGACATCCTCCAAATCTGTGTATGAGTAAGTCTGTGTAAGAGTAAGTCTGTGTATGAGTATGTCTGAGTGTGAGTAAGTCTGAGTATGAGTAGGTCTGAGTATGAGTAAGTCTGAGTATGAATAAGTCTGTGTATGAGCAAGTCTGAGTATGTCCGACAGGAGGGGAGGAGAAAAGAGGAGGAGGGAGGAGTAGGAGTAGGAGGCGTCCAAGTAATAACAAGAACCCCATCTTAGGATATGGGGAATGATGAGGGGGAAGGAGAACAGAGGACAGAAGAGGAATGAGGAGGAGGAGGAGAAAGAGGAGCAGGAGGAGGAGAAAGAGGTGGAGTGGGTAATTAGGCGGAGGACGAGGCGACGGAACAGAAAGAGGAGGAGGAGGAGGAGGAGGGGGAGGAGAAGGAGGAGGAGGAGAGGAGGAGGATGAGGAGCAGGAGGAGAAAAGGAGGAGGAGAAGGAGCAGGAGGAGCAGGAGGAGGAGCAGGAGGGAGATAAACAGGAAGTGCATCGCTACCGTCAGCACGGTGCAGACGGTAGCGGCTGCAGACAAGCAGCTGGAACGTGCCGCACGTGCGTCAGAAGAGCGTTTGTATCCAATTCCGTACTGGGTTTATCGATTCTTCAAACTTTTGAATGGGATGTGCCCGGAGCCACTCGGTATGCTTGAATCCGCGCTGGACACCTCCAGGTCTTCCTGTCTCTATCTGCTCGTAGGTTGCCACACACCTCCTCCTCCTCCTCCTCCTCCCCTCCTCCTCCTCCTCCTCCCCCTCCTCCTCCGTCCTCCTCCTCCTCCTCCTCCTCCTCCCTCCTCCCTCCTCCCCCTCCTCCCCTCCTCCCCCTCCTCCTCCTCCTCCGCCTCCTCCTCCTCTTCCTCCTCCTCCTCCTCATCCTCCTTTCCTTTTCTTCATAGATAACTCCTCCCTGTCGCACCCCGAAGCCAGTTTTCAGGGCGGGCCGGGCGTTTCGCCTGAGACTTCCTCACCATGTATGACTCTGAAGCTTAAAAAGTGACAACAGTTTCACGGATGGAGGGCGGGTCAATTTCAACATGTGGCTCTCGCCATAGCGCCGCGCACATCCGTTAAACAAAAAACCATTGCAAGAGTTTCACGTGTTGAAGGCGGGCCGTTTTCAAAATATGGCTCTCGCCTCAGCCTTCGCGCAGCGCACATTCGCTTGAATAATTAGCCAGCGTTCCACGGATTGAGGGCGGGTCGTTTTCAAAATGTCGTTCTCTCCTTAGCGCCGCGCACATTCGCTTCACGGATTGAGGGCAGGTGGTTTTCAACATGTGGCTCTTGCCTTAGCGCCGCGCACATTCGTTTTGAAACTTTGCAAGAGTTTCACGGATTGTGGGCGGTTCCTTTTCAAACTATGGCTCTCGCCTTAGCGCCGCGCACATTCGCTTCAAACATTTGCAAGAGTTTTACGGATTGAGGGCGGTTCCTCTTCAAAATGTGGCTCTCGCATTAGCGCCGCGAACATTCCAGTTAAAATTTGCAAGAGTTTCACGGATTCCAGTGGTCAACGTACCAGAAATTATGTGTTGTAATGATTCAGGATTGTGCGGGTGCAACAATTATGTTAATCCGCGGTGTCGAAGTCCCAACATTGCGCTCTGACACGGTTCCGGATCGTCAGGACGCAGCAGTCAGGTTGATACGTGGCGTTGCATTCCCGAGAACGATGTTTTGGTATGCTTTCGGATCTTCAAACGGTTGTCTTCCAACGAGGCAGCTCCCTCTATGGAACTGAACCGTTACGGGGCCATATGAAGATGGAGCTTGGAGGGAGGGTCAATCCCAACATCGTTGATGACTCTTGGTTTTACACTGGTCCTCTTCCTCCCCCCTCCTCCCCCCCTCCTCCTTTCCCCTCGTCCTCCTCTCCTTCCCCATCCTCCTTACCTTCTCCTCCTCCTCCTCCTCCTCCTCCTCCTTCCCCCTCTGTCTTACCTTCTCCTCCTCCCACACTCCTCCTCCTCCCCCTCCTCCTCCTCCTCCTCCTCCTACTCCTCCTCCTCCTCCTCCTCCTCCACCTCTTCCTCCTCCTCCTCCTCCTCCTCCTCCCGATCCCCTGCCTCTGGCCCTCTCCTCGACCTGCCCTGCCCGATGCCCGCGCGCTGGCCACTGGCGCATCGACTTGAGGAGCACGCGCTGCTCCTCGCGGCGGGGGGCTGCCGAGCAGGCTTCCGACGGGGCGACTGGGTGGGGGGTGGAGGAGAAGGACGGGCAGCCAGGACTGAGGAATGAGGAATGAGGAGGAAGAGGAGGAGGAGGCGGAGGAGGAGGAGGAGGAGAAGGAGGATGAGGAGGATGATAATGCGGAGTGAGGAATGAGGACTGAGGAGGAGGAGGAGGAGGAGGAGGAGGAGGAGGAGGAGAGAGGAAGACCTCTCCCGGGCTGCATTCCAGTGGGAGGCGTCAAACCGTCGCACCCTCCGAAGGCTCGGGGTCAAGGGCGCAAAGCGGATGGCGACCTGGATGGGACGAATTGACGCCACCATGTTTGCTGTCCAATGCTCTTCCGGATAGCACCAAAAGGCCACCCCTAAAGGGGGTCCCCAAAACGCACCGAGGCAGTTCCAATGCACAATTTCAAACACCGAGCGCCTTTTATGCTTGGCACCTTGCTTCTTCGCGCCCGTCCGCTGTGACGAAAATCCACGGGACAAAATCATGACAGCCTTCGCGGCGCTCCCGCGGGAGGCCCTGCAACTCGCCGAAGACGATGCGAAACATGTGATCATGCAGACGACCTGGCGGCTGCCCTCCCGTGTTGTGCCACTGCAGCCGCACTTCCCTCGTAAAACAGTTTGCCCAAGAATCCCTTCTGGATGGGCTGGTGGGGGCGGATCGTCTCAAGAACTGGAGCCTACACAGTCGGATACTTTTGGATAACGTGTCGCCGAGGCGGACCCGCTGACACGCTATGCCATGCCAGTGGACAGCGTGTCGCTCCGCTCCGTCGGGCGAGAGGCTTGGAAAGGATCGCGACGTTAACGCCTAGGGGCGGGGCAATGGATAGCGTGTCGCGCCGAAGCGTGGTGGGCCAGAACCGGCGGAGCGACACGCCACCCAAAAATGTCCGACAATAACTCGCCCTTTCCTCCCTACCCCCTCACCGTGGCAGCTCACTGGCAACCAGTGATCGCAGATTGATTGAGCCGCTTGCGCGATGGAGCCAGTGGTGTCAGCATCAGCAACCACAAAGCCCCTACTGAAGGGTAGCTTTGGAATGACTGGCCCTGATGGCGCAACGGCGCCCGACGACTGCCCACGATGGCACAAGGAGGCTTCCAAGAACGTCTAGGAGGGCCCTGAAAGGGCCACCAACCAGCTCCAAAGCATATCCTCACTCTAGATCCCATGTGCAAGCCCCATCAAGCCAACAACCTTGGATGTAATCAGAATACAATAATATTCGAGCGAGTGCAACAACGTACGCGTAATGGTTGTATTCGAGTGCTGGAGACACACACACACACGAAATGAACTCTCGGTGCAAGAAATCTGAAGGCATTCTTCTCGTCGAATAGTGAGCTCCCTGAGGTTTCCCAAAATTTTTGTGACCTCCAGGGCCATCGGGGGATCCGCCACCGCGCTTGCAGCGGTATAGGTTGCGAGGCGGGGATTTATCCATATCCACCGCCCGGGAACCGACGTCCTGGTACTCCAGCGGGCGGTGGATATGGAAGTATTCGGGCCCCCAGGGGCCCAAACATATCCATATCCAGCGCCTGCCGAGGTCCCCGAAAATTGATCCTCCAGGCGGTGGTCATGTATAGAATTCCGCCTCGGACAGGTGTGTGTCGGGCCCTCTCGCTCCTCGCGAACCACTACCTGGGCCCCCCTCCCCCCGGTCCCACCCGACGCCCCGAGCCCACGGGGCGTCCACGTGCACGACCATGCCCCCCCGCATGTTCGGCCCTCTAGGCAGAACGCGTGCCCAAAAATACGAGGTCGGGGCAGGGCTGAACCTAAACGGTGTTTTTCGCTTTCGTTCTGCTTTCGTTTTCCCTCGTTTTGTCTTCACAGTCCGCCTTTACCGCAAACCGAAATCGAAACGAACACGGCCCACGAAATCGCCAAAAACACCGTTCAGGTCCAGCCCTGAGGTCGGGGGAGAAACCTGCAGTGGATTACCCCCGCCGCCCCCCCCCCGCCGCCCGCCTTCCCCTCCCCCCCCCAGGCGCCCGCCCGAGCGTGGCGGCGGAGTCGCGCGGCGGCGGAATCGCGCGGCGGCGCCGGTGGGTAAGGATCTCCCCTGGGGGGGGGCACCTGCTGGCAGGACGCACCGGCTGCACCGGGCTGCGGGGCTGCAGGCACCGTCGAGCGCAGGATAAGGGCGGACCGAGGAGGGCTGCGTGCGAGGAGGACAGAGGAAAGAGGAGCAGGGAGCAGGAGGAGGCCGACCTGCATGATTTGAATCGGCAACCAGATGGCATCCGTCGAGGGCAGGAAAAAGGCGGACTGAGGAGGGATGCGTGCGAGGAGGACAACGGAAAGAGAAGCAGCGAGCAGGAGAGGCCCACCTGCATGCTTTGCATCGGCAACCGGATGGCATCGGAGTGTGCGTGGGACCGGGCCGCGTCGGCACGGAGTCGAAACCGACTCGGATCGGCCGCGCCAGGATACGCAACAGTGCCACGCAAGCACTTGGGACATGTCGCGTCGTCGATATACTGGAGTCGAAGCGGATCGGCCAGAATGGCTATCGAATCGTATCGACTGGATCGAGATGGGCTCTGCGGAGGTGGGGCAGGAGAAAGGGAAAAGGGGGGGGATGTGCGAGGATCGCAGGAGGACGCCGACCGGTCCACACTACACTGGTCCTGGCCAGGCCCCATCCTGTCGGGCGTTGGCAGAACTGGGTTTAGAGGGGCCTGGTTTAGCGATGTGTACTGGGGGACGCCCCTCCGTCCCGTTCCACTAACCAGAACTGCCGTCACCCGAAAAAACACGAGCTACGGCAGACCTGGTTTAGTGATTCTGGCTAGTTTACAGGCTCCGAGGCCCTACCACTAACCGTATCCACTTACCTCAATCCTGGCCAGGCCCCATCCTGGGAGGCATGATGGAGGAGGAGGAGGGAGCAGGAGGGGGCAACTGTGCAAAACGACGCCAGGATCGGGGCAAACTCGGATCGGGATGAGTCGGGGATCTCTGAGAGCCCAAGGGTTTGGCGGATGCATCGGGCACCGCGGCAGTTCCAGAGAAGCGCTCCAGAGCGACCTGCAGGCACTTCATCAGGCTCTGGAGCAATCTGTACTTCCCAATCCCAGGCCTGCCTGAAGGATGCGCCATGGAAAGAGAGAGGAGGAGCTGGCATTCCCTGCACTCCCTGGCTCGAATGCCCTCTGAGAAGGTGTACAAAAGGGTCTGCGAATCCGGCCACCAGCCGGTCGATGCACCTGTGCCTCAGTCCCACGTCGCCTCGGCGAGCCTACCCGTCTGAAACTCGACGAGGACGCCACCGTTGTGATCGCCGCCAACCAGGCCCTCAACGAACACGTCCTCTGCGAGGCCGCCAGAGGTGTCACCGGGGCACACGCACATCATATCCCTGTTGGCAAGGCTGGCGGCAGCCTCGTTGTCGTTCAGGCTGTCGGTGTGGCGCGGCTGCATGCGCTGCTCCCTGATCTTCTCCCAGCGGACCTTCCAGTCTGGCTTGTTGTGGCGGGGGCCAGTCTCGCGGTCGAGACCGTCCCTGTGGCGCTGGCACTCGGGCGTGACATCCTCCAGGGACTCAGGGTGCGCGTCGAACCCAAGCAAGCCGCCAACGTCCGCGCGGCCCAGCGAGCTCAGGCGACGCACGGCCAGATTCAGGTGCTCCTGCCTGGGAAGGTCCTGGCGAATGACGAACTTCGTGGGCTCGCTGCTCAACAACTTATTCTTCACCTGGATCTCGACCTGCCCTGCCACGGTCGGCACATCCTCCCTGGCGTCCTTCTTGCTGTGCCACTTCGCCGTGGACACGGTCACCCCGAAGCCATCCTTCGTCTGAGGCTCTGAGACGACGTAGCTCGCGTCGGCCCACTGCGAGAGTTTCTCCCAAGGGGCCTCGTCGGCAAGCGCGTTGGGGGATCGATCCAGCACGCGGAGGCCCAGGAATTTGTCGGTCTCGTTCTTGGCATGCGACCTGAGGTAGGAGCGCACCTGCACAACCTTGCTGCCGAGCCAACTGCCTGCGAGCTCCACCTCGGTGATGTATGTGGTACACGGCTTCCCGTGCTCGGGGAGGATTGTAGCCTTCAGCTCCACCTCGGCGGGCTTGAGAATGTTCTGGGGGATCCGCAGGAGAACGAATTCCCCTCCGTGGTTCACGTCGAAGTGCTCCCCATTCAGATTGACCAAATGCGGGTCACCCTTGGCCGACACTGTCGGGGCAGGTGTCGGCAAAGTCGTGGGGATGCAAGCGCCGCAACCACCATTGCCGGTAATATCGCACTTCGTTGACTCGCCACAAACCTCGGAGCCACATCCGCACGGGAAGAAGCTGGGATAGCCAACTCCATCTGTCGAAGAACAAGTCTTAGTAACACGATCGAACTGGCTGAAATCCATGGTCAATGCCGGAATGTCGAAGGAGTTGGCAGGAATGGTAGGCGCGGCGCCTGTGATGACGAACGTACCGTGGTCGCTAGCGCTTTCACAGCAGCACTTCGAAATCGTGATTGAATCTCCGACGGACGGAGCGAATCCGCCCAAGTCGGTGTCCTTGTTGACGTAGATCCTGGTGTCGCTCACGCTTGCACTCGCGCTGAGGTACATCGCATCATCCTCCATGCAATTGTCGCAGTCGGCAACGGCGAACGTGCCAGTATCGCAACTGGCGCACTCATTCGTGCGGCGACGCCTGGTTTGCCCAGCGCATGATTGGGGAACGCTCGTGCCAACCGCCACATACTGTCCGCAAGGGGCTTCGCCACTCGTTGGCAGTTCTGGAGGGCAGACTGCTTCGGTCTCGTTGAGACAACCGTCGCCATCCAAATCATACTGCTCATAAGGTGGACTCATGTACGTCGCGTTTGCACCCGCAATTTGGGCCTCCGAATGCTCCAGACATCCACTACCATCTGTGTCGTAATAGACGAACGAGCAGCACGAACCAGTGCAATTGCACAGGCATGGAACCCCGGGCTCCATCGTCGGTTCAGGCGTCTCCGCAGGCCGGCCGTTGGAGTCCTGCAGGGAATACGGTCAAATCCCTTATATAGCTAGATGATGAACAGAGAGTAGCAGGCAGATCAGGTGGCGGAGGAGGCGGATGAGGAGAGACAGGATGAAAAATGCTCATGCGAATACAGTCATGACATACACGGTCAAGACAATGCCCCAGGGACCATACATTCTTCTTCAATGCCCCTGCGCAGACATCAGTATGAGTTGGATTTCGCCGCCGACCATGGAAACGAACGCAAAAAGGCATCGCAACGCCAAATACGTATGCGCTCGTCTCGCGATGGGCTTCTCACGACAATGCTGCGCAAATCTGAAGGACATGTACACTTCATATACGAAATAACGGAGTGCTGGCCAGGCAGGCATGAAACTACGCTTGCCATGGATGTGAGAGCTGCGTGGAACCTCCATCCATCCCTCTGGGCAGAGGCGGTCTCGTGCGATTCATCTTCAAACTCTCTCTCTTTCCCTCTTGGGGAGGACTTGGTCACTGCTCTTTGTTTATAAACCCCCTCCCCCAATCGACCGGCGGCCGACCAGGAACCATGCCGACCCCCGTCCCCACCATACCCGTCAGCCCCAAACTGCAATCCCACATGCCCTCTGGGCGTAGGTGGTATAAGGCGTTTCCTCTTCCACCGCGTTCCTCCCCTTCGGGAAGGGGGGTTTTCACTGTTCCCAATTCGTACACACCCCCTTTCCACAAACGACTGGGAGCCAACCAAGGACAATGAGGGCACCCCCCCACCATCCATTGTAAAAACAATACAAAACAAACTCTGCCTCAAAATTGGGAGCATGCGCAACGAACCCGATGCGGCCTCCCCCCACCATCCCTGTCAAAAACAATACGGAATACACTTGGCGTCGGCGGCGGCTGCAACGGCTGCGGCGGGGGCAGCGGCTGCGGCGGCTGCAGCGGTGGCGGCGGCGATGGCGGCGGCGGCGGGGTGGCGGCAGCGGCGGCGGTGGCGGCGCGGCGGGGGGGGCGGCGCGGGCGGCGGTGCGGCGCGGCGGAGGGGGGCGGTGGCGGCGGCGGCAGCGGCGGCAGCGGCTGCGGCGATTCGGCAGCGGGTCGACGGCGGCGGCGGCGGCGGCGGCGCGCGCAGCGGCGGCGGCAGGCGGCGGACGCGGGGCGCGGGCGGCGCTGGCGGCGGCGGCGGGCGGCGCAGCGGCGGCGGCGGCGGCGGGGCGGCGGCGCCGGCGTTCGGCGGCGGGTCGGCGGCGCGGCGGCGGACAACGGCGGCGGCGGCAAAGGCGGCGGCGGCGGCGGCGGCGGCGGATTCGCCCCCAAGGGTTGCCCATTCAAAAACGACTGCTGCACATGCTGCGGTTCGGGCCGGGCCCGGATGCTACGTATGTGTTGGGAGGGCGGGTGGGAGTGAGCGGAACGGTTTGCGGGCGGGGTGGGTAGCTTAATCACTGCTCCCTATTAATAGACACCCCCTTTCCCCAAGCGAGTGGGAGCCAACCAAACACAATGAAAGCCCCCCACACCATCCCTTCTAAAAAACCATGCAAAACACGCTCTGCCTCCACATTCGGAGCATGCGCAGCGAACCCGACGCGGCCTCCCCCCACCATCCCTGTCAACAAACAATACGGAGTACACTTGGCGGCGGCGGCGGCGGCTGCGGCGGGGGCAGCGGTTGCGGCGGCTGCGGCGGTGGCGGCGGCGGTGGCGGCGGTGGCGGCGACGGCGGCGGCGGCGGCTGCGGCGGCGGGGGTGGCGGCAGCGTGGCGGCCGGCTGCGGAGGCAGCGGCTGCGGCGGCGGGCAGCGGCGGCGGCGGCGGCGGCGGCGGCGGCGGCGGACAACGGCGGCGGCGGCGCGGCGGCGGCAGCGGCGGGCGGCGGCGGCTTCGCCCGCAGCAGCTGCACATCCAAAAACGGTTGCTGCATATGTTGTGGCTCGGGCCAGGCTCGGGCGCTACGGATGTGCCGGGAAGGCGAGTTGGGAGTGCTCGAGACGACTTGAGGGCGGGGAGGGCGTCTTGATCACTGCTCCCTACTAGTATCGACTCCCTCCTCCAGGCGACTGGGAGCCAACCAGGGGCAATGAGGGCCCCCCCACCATCCCTTTTAACCCACCATACAAAACACACTTTGCCTTCAAATTCGGGGCATGCGCAGCGAACCCCAATGCGGCCTCCCCCCACCATCCCTATCAAAAACAATACGGAATACACTTGGCGGCGGCGGTTGAGGCGGCTGCGGCGGGGGCAGCGGCTGCGGCGGCTGCGGCGGTGGCGGCGGCGGTGGCGGCGGCGGCAGCGGCGGCGGTGGCGGCGGCGGCGGCAGCGGTGGCGCTGGGCGGCAGCGGCTGCAGGCGGCGGCGATTCGGCAGCGGGGGCGGCGGCGGCGGCGGCGGCGGCGGCGGGCGGCGCGGTGGCGGCGGCGGCGGCGGACAGCTGCGGCGGAGGCGGCGCCGGCGGCGGCGGCGGATTCGCCCCCAGTAGCTGCCCATCCAAAGACGACTGCTGAGTATGCTGCGGCTCGGGCCAGGCTCGGGTGCTGCGTATGCGTTGGGAGGGCGGGTGGGAGTGAGCGGGCGGTTTTGCAAACGGGGGGGTCCGTCTTAGATCACTGTTCCTTTAAGTAGACGCCCCCTCCCCCAGGCGACTGGGAGCCACCAGGGTGGTCAATGCGGTGGGACGGCGGCGGCGGCGGCGGTGCGGCAGCGGTGCGCAGCGGCTGGGCGGCGGCGGCTGCGGCGGCGGCGATGTGGCCAGCGGGTTGGCGGCGGCGATTCGGCGCGGGGGCGGCGGCGGCGGCGGGCGCGGCGGGCGCGGCGGCGGCGGCGGCGGACAGCGGGGCGGCGGCCGGCGGCGGCGGCGGCGGCGGCGGCGCGGTGGCGGCGTCGTGCGGCCGGCGGCGGCGGCGGCGGCGGCGGATTCGCCCCCAGTAGCTGCCCATCGAAAGACGACTGCTGCATATACTGCGGCTCGGGCCAGGCCCGGGTGCTACGTATGTGTTGGGAGGGCGGGTGGGAGTGAGCGAGACGGCTTGCGGGCGGGGAGGGGGACTCTTGACCCCTCCCCCGACCCCCTCCCCTGGACCTGGACGGCGGGTTTCGCGGGGGGTTGGAGCGTCCAAGATGGCCTCGGCGAGGAAGCCAACATCATTGGTTTTACTAGAGCTTTGGCCCCATTGTGGCCTCTCCGAGGGGGGGGCCCTTCTTTGATCGATCTCCTCCAAGATGGCCCCAATAGCCGCCCAGGAGGCCCCAGGAGGCCCCAATATGGGCTGAAAGATAGCCCAATGTGGCCCCCAAGAGGCTCAGGATGTCCCCAAGAGGCTCCCAAGAGACCCCAAAGAGGCCCCAAGAGGCCCCCCAGAGGCACCCAAGACGCTCCAAGAGGCCTCGGCGAGAATGCCAACATCATTGAATGTACGTAGGTTTGGCCACATGTTGGCCTCTTGGGGGGGAACTGCTTCAGATGACTCCAAGAGCGCCTGGGAGCCCAAGATGACTCCAAAATGGTTCAAGATATCCCAAGATGCCTCAAGATGGTTCCCACGAGTCGAAAGTGAGCCTGGTAACTCAAATCGCATCCGATTCCATGGACATCGGATGGCAAATAGCGTCCATTCCTCTGCTGCGGTGGTTCAGTATGGGGAATAGGCGGATACGATGGGATAAGATCGATGTGTCGGTCTTTCCAGCACATAGCGAACACTCGCGGTGTCCGGGCAAATAGGGCGCGCGCGCCTTGAGCCAAAGGCAACGGCGCGCGAGCTATGCTCCCGATACTATAACATCTCCCAAAGAGCTACTCTTAAAGTCGGGAGGGGAGGAGACGGAGAGCATAGCCGCGCAGCCGTTTGGCTCTTCAAAGGCCGCGCGCACGACTGTTTGCAAGAAAGAAAACAGTGCGTACAGTCTGGCCTAACACCCGACTGTAAGGCGAGTTTCCTCGCAAGGCATTTCACGCAAATACAAGATAGCCCCTTTGAACGATGAAGGGCCATCGGCTCAGTTAGAGGTAAGCCAAACAGGCCATACCTCACCGAGCAAATATGTATTAAGGCAAAGAGCCTGAGTCATACAAAGCCGGCTCGTTGCCAGGCGTGAAGTGTAAGGCTCGTTTCCGAGCAACTAGAAGGGCGCCTCTATGGTAGGCGCCCATGCTGGCAAATTGGACCGCGGGGGCAACAAGGACAGACTAAAATTGATTAGACTTGGGTTTGTCTCTGTCCCCGGGACCCCGAAAGGGGACAAACTGCTTCACGTCATACTTGAATGACTGAGTGCCTGACATCACTTCCAGAAGCAGCTCCCGATCGATGCTTCCCTTTGTACGCCCGTCTGCGGTCATATCCCTAGTATCACACCACTGCACGTTATGTACTATACCTATATCCATGAGCTCACGTATCCAACTGATGTGTCCAAGCAGAGTCCGCTCTGTCGGTATCTTAAGATCCTTGCTTGATGACGATTTATAAACGGACTCAGCGTCTATGGTGAGAGATACTTTGATGGCTAGGCCTCCAACTTCACGCATAGCTCGTAGTTGTCGTGGAGTTAGAGCTCCTGCCTTGAGCCGGTGGAAAGTGATGAGCGTAGGGTAACACTCATCGAGGTTATGCGCCGCTGCGAGTGCCTCCGCAGCATAGCTGGACCTCACCTGCAGTCGGTGTGATTTGCATAGTCAGTCACACAGGTGAACGACGGACTTGCCTTGAGGCGAGTTTCCTCGCCGTAGTACATTCGCCCCGCGTATGCCGTAGCCCTTGGTCTCATCCTCCTCCTCCCCGGTAAGCTTCCGATACCCCGAATCGCTGTGGATGTTAACTTCATTCGTCGGCTTCATCCAAGGAAAGGTGATGCGTTTCGGGCTGCTGATCAGCTTTCGCGTCACAGCATTCAGGCGTCTGACTTGCAGATTGGTGGGCTCTTGGATTTTCTGGAGAGAGACAACGTATACCATGAGCCAGATTTGAGTAAGAAGGGCATAGGCGAGGGCTCCTCGCAAGCTGACGAACATGTCGGTAATGAGTTTCGTGGCTTTGGCATCGGCCGCCGCTCCTGTAAGTTCTGGGTGTGTGATAGGACGTAGTTGTTTGATATGCTCGTCCTGATCCATAATCGCATCCCCTTGATCATTCTTAGTGTAGCGAACGGCGCAGTTCGTATATGTGTGTTTGTTTAGCTTGCATTTGCC